ACAGCTCTCCCTTGTGGCTAAACACGTGGCGTATTCTCTTATGGGCTGACAGGGCCCATGCCCAGAGGTCCCAGGCAGTTCGGGAGCCCCACAGAAGTGGCCTGAACTCCAGCCATGCCTTCTGCTCCTCTCTCCTGTCAGCTGCTCCTCTTCTTCCCCACCAAGCTTTGTCTCCAACCCAGCCTGTGGAAGGGTGGTGACCGAAGCATAATCCCCCCTGTCCCAGGCAGATCTGGCTGAGTGCTGCTAGCCCAAGACCCATGCTGAGCTGGCCACCAGATCTGGCTCTCCCAAGTGGGACTGAAGTGAGCCCCCTTCCTTCGCCCCCGCCCCACGTGGCACAGAGCTCACCTGAGCATTTCTTTCCTCTTCCCCACCCTAGCGTGGAGTTTTCTGAGACCCTTCTCCCTTCCTCTCTCCTCCGCACAAAGTAGAGCTGGCCTGAGCTCCTCTTCAGAGCCCTTCCCTCCCCACTCAGGACTGGCCAAGGCTCCACTGCCCCCCCTCCCAACCCTGTCCCACTACTGCCCCTTTGGCAAAATTGGGCATTTGTCTCATTTGCTCATGATAACTGGTGTAATATTATATATTGCCAAAATAAGTCTGGGGCTAAAAGGGAACATGTGATCACCCTAGGCCAGGGGTCCCCAAACTTTTCATGGCCCCCCCTTACCCAGTCTGTGTCCAGGCCTTCCCAGGTGTCAGGAGAAGGGCTGGGGCCTCTCTCAGGGCTGAGAGTGAGGGTGCAGCTGGGAGCAAAGCTGCAGCTGGGGCTAGGGTCAGGTTTGGGCTCTGTTATGTTTCTCTGTGCCCCTCTAAGGGGATGAGCATCACAGTTTGGGGATCACTGCCCAGGGAGCTTCAGGCCATGGCTAGCCCAGGGAGCAAGGACTTGGAGGGACAGGAAAGGAGCAGGGGGTGGAGAGCTGTGGGGCCCACATGTTTTTGTGCCTAGGAACCAATAAATGTCAGTCCAACTCTAAGCTAAACACGCAGAGTTGTCAGCCCAACAGCTGGCTCGCTCTTGACTGGTGGAGCTTGTCAGTGAGTTTGCTTCCCAGTCTCCCGCCCCCCCTCCACCGCCCTCTCCTCCGCCATGTCTTAGCCTCTAGAGAGGCTACAGGGGCAAGGAGAAAGGGAGTGTGCCTCTTGCATCCACTGCCTCTGCTGTGGGCACAGAGAAACTGTGCCTGCTGACGGGAGGAGAGGGGGGAAGCAGAAGAGGGGATAGGAGGGGGCACAACCCCAGAGCTGCGTGACCATGCCCCTCCCTCTCCAAACAGCCCTGCCCCTTCTGGGAAGCAGCAAGCCTCAGTCTGTTCCCCCAGCTGTTCCCCTGTTGCTCTTGGCAGAGCTGTAGCTGTGGCACCTCCCAGCTCACGTCCTGCCTCTGCCTCTCCATGCCTGGCACAGCTCCCGGGCCAGGCTCAGCTGCTTGGCCTGACCATACCATGTGACGGAGCAGCCAGGGGTGGGGTGGGGGAATGTGACCTTGCATCCCCCCCTACCCTCTGCAAGAACTGCCTCTCCCTGCGGGAAACGCACTGAAAACCACCTTAACTCTGTCCTCAAGTGACTCTGCTGGATAACTAGAATGACACCAACATAGCTGTCCCAACCTGATTTGTAAAACAGATCGAGGTTCCATTTCTTCCCCACCTCGCGTCACTACAGGGTGGAGTGAAGGCTGTGAGGAGGCCCTGACTGTGTCCTTCTGAGCTGTACGTGTTGGGATTTCTTTCCAATGCAGCCTTAACTCAGAATTGCCTGACTTCCTAATGCTTGTTTTTCAACCAGTGACTCTGTCCCGGTGAAGCTTTCCCCCTGCATTCTGTGAACAGTGCACCCTTCCACCCCTATGTCTCTGTAGCAAAGCTTTTGTTTGAGTACATGACTCAGGGCACTCATGGTGCCACATTAGGGTTGCCAGGTGTCTGGTATTAACCTGGACAGTCCGGTATTTTCACCTCCTGCCCAGTAAAAAACACAGAAAATACTGGACACCTAAAATGTCCGATATTTTCTGGGGTTTTCCCCCGACAGGAGGTGAAAATACTGGACAACTGGTAACCCTATGACACACTCAGCAACTGGGCCCAGCCCCCGAGTCCCCAGGCACCAGCCCCGCTGCTTATCTGGTTCTGCAGGGAAGCTGTGTTCTGGCTCAATCATGAAAACAAGATGGCTGCTGGCAAAAAGCCTAAAGACTTGAAGCAAGGGGAAGAAATGCCTTCCCTGGGTCTTAGTGCTCAACCTCTCCTCTCTTCCTATCCCTATTCTAACTCACATATGCAGAGGGGCTATTTTATTTTTTGCTTAACTTTTTTTTTGCTCAACAACTTTGGTCTCCCCCAACAGAATTTTTTGCCTGGTGTTTTTTTTTGGGGGGCGGTGGTATTTTTGGTTAAACCATCTGGCAACCCTAGTAATAATTACTCAAATGATGGATGTTCATGCACCAGGCATGAGCAGATTGTGAGTGGGGGTCAGGGAGAAACTATTCTCCATGCAACAGTGTTACTTAGAGAGGTGCATTGTGGGGCATCCTCTCCCCCTCCAACGCACCCAGCATTGGCTACTGTCAGGCCAAGATTACTAAGTGGAACAATGGCTCACCAGCATGGGGGCAAGTGGGGAACTAAACCAGGTGGACCAGTTCTCTAGGTCAGTGACCCAGCTCTGTGTGCTGTGTGTGGAATGGCTAGGCTGTTGCCCTGGGGAAATGGTTAATGTGTTACAGACTGTCCCCTCCCCCCTCTCTGTAACACTCCTTCTGTGCTCTGGGCAGGCAGATGGGAAGGTGAAGGCCAGGTTATAGCTGAAAGGTGACAAGTTATACAGGCCTGCGGGGCACCAGGAATATTTGAATCCCCAGGCCTGGCTCCAGCAAAGTTTGTAGCCAAGCCTTTCCCTTGCATGCTCCTGCTGGTGTGTCTAGGCCTCACCTGCTGCCCCTGGGTAACTGAAATGGTCTGGGGCCCCTGCTGCCACCACTGGCACCGCAGTAGGACTAGAGCCATTTCCTGTCACTCACTCCCTGCAGCTGCCAGCATGTCTATGCAGCCCGAGGGTGGGGTGTTTCCACACACTACCCCTGCCCTGACACCGCTGTGGCCAATGGAAAGCTGCCCAAGTGGCGCTTGTGGGCAAAAGTGCATGGAGATCCTCCTGGCTCCACATGCCTCAGAGATGCTGCCAGAGGGGGATGCCCCACGTAAATGCAACTCCATCCCCATACACCCCATCCTCTCCCAGAGCTTCCATTCACACCCTGTCCAGCCCCAAATTTCCTCCCAGAGCCTGCACCCCTCACCCTCTCCTGCATCTCCACCCCCTGCCTCAGCCAAGCCTCCTCTACCATCTGGACACCATCCCAGGGTCTGCATCCCACCCTGAAATCCAATTCCCTGCCCCAGGAAAGGAGAGGAAATCTCAAAAAAGAAGGTGGATCGGCAGAGAGCCTGATTCTAAAACTGAGAGGAACTGTTTTCACCCTCCTTATACAGGCCCATAGAATCATAGAGCTGGAAGAGACCTCAGGAGGTCATCAAGTCCAGCTCCCTGCCCAAGCTAGGACCAATCCCAACTAAATCAACCCAGCCAGGGCTTTGTCAAGCTGAGACTTAAAAACTTCTAGGGATGGAGATTCCACCACCTTCCTAGGGAACCCATTCCAGTGCTTCACCACCCTCCCAGGGAAATAGCTTTTCCTAATATCCAAGCTAGGCCTCTCCCACAGCAACTTGAGACCATTGCTCCTTGTTCTGCCATCACTGAGAACAGCATCTTTCTGTCCTCTTTGGAACCTCCTTTCAGGAAGTTGAAGGCTGCTACCAAATCCCCCCTCACTCTTCCTTTCTGTAGGCTAAACAAACCCAAATCCCTCAGCTTCTCCTCATAGGTCATGTGCTCCAGCCCCCTCAGCATTTTAATAATGATTTAATAATAATAATTCAGCCCCCAATCATGTGCTCCAGCCCCCTAATCCGCCCTCCGCTGGACCCTCTCCAATGCATCCACATCCTTTCTATACTGGGGGGCCCGAGAACTGGACACAGTACTCTAGATATGGCCTCACCATAGCCAAATAAAGGGGAATAATCATTTCTCTGGATCTGCTGGCAATGCTCCTCCTAATGCAACCTAATAGGCCATTAGCCTTCTTGGCTATAAGGGCACACTTTTGACTCATATCCAGCTTCTCATTCACTGGAATCCCCAGGTCCTTTTCTGCAGAACTGCTACGTAGCCATTCAGTCCCCAGCCTGTAACAATGTTTGGGATTCTTCTGTCCCAAGTGCAGGACTCTGCACTTGTCCTTGTTGAACCTCATCAGATTTCTTGTGGCCCAATCCTCTAATCTTTCTAGGTCACTGTGGACCTTATCTCTGCTCTCCAGCAAATCTACCTGTCCCCTTAGCTTAGACACATCTCAACCCCTGTACCCACAATTTGAAGGAGATTCTTTCCCTTCCTCAGCACCTCATCTAGCATTGCTACAGGCTTGAACCTCATCAGATTTCTTGTGGCCCAATCCTCTAATCTTTCTAGGTCACTGTGGACCTTATCTCTGCTCTCCAGCAAATCTACCTGTCCCCTTAGCTTAGACACATCTCAACCCCTGTACCCACAATTTGAAGGAGATTCTTTCCCTTCCTCAGCACCTCATCTAGCATTGCTACAGGCTAGAGTGGCCAGCCCCACTTGTTGAGGTCCCAGTGGCACTGCCTGCTGCCATTCCTCTCC